TTGATTAGATTTCTGTGCATGTTTATATAGATAAGCCTAGCTGATCACATATCAACCCTTGGTCCACACACGATTATCATGAGTGTTGCTGTCAACCCAAAGCCATGTGAGTTTCAAAGTTCTCATAGACTGAGTAAGCTCTATTTCAATTTTAACCGACAAAAGTTTTTCATTGTCTTTTCTAATGACCCAATTCCAAATGCGAGATCAGATTTCTTCATCAGTAAACAAAATGCTCTGATCTAATTTCACTACCTAGAATCACTCCAATTTCAATAAAAAAAATATGTGTGTGTGTGTGTTTCCCAAACTCTCTCTGTTACATTATATATTTATAGATCATGGGTAATCCCGAGCACCCAATGGAATAAATCATGCTGTGCAACACAATTATATGCATACATATCTTCATACATACATATATGTACACTTACATGTCTATACATACACATACACCCCCCATAGATATGCACATGTATTCATTCTTATGTAATTTGGAATTTTTTTTGTATGTCTACATTTTGTGATTAGTTCTCTCCGTTGATTTAATAGTTTGTATTCATCTTTATATTTTATTATCCTGATTTTTTTTCTTCTAAACATAGCTTGCACCTACCCTTAAAACTATTGGGGGGTGTTCATGAAACCTAAAATTTTCCAATTTATTTGAGGATTCAGACCCTTTTCCTTCAATTCTCAAAATTTTTCCAAAAGTGCTGTTTGGTATTTTAATTTTGGATTGGAGAATGAATGTCTATGTAAATTGATTCTCTTTTCAAATTCTCTTGCAGAAATGCTGATGTAATTATGGTTTGTTGTATATTTTTAGGGATAATAGTTGCCTGGTATACTACCCTACTAGGCAGTTTTCCTTAAATCTACAATTACATGGGCTTTCCATGTTAGATTTAGATTTTTTTTCCCATGGAATTTACTTAAAATGTAATTGTTATGGGAATTAATAACTTGGTACATGTTAGTGCAGTTGGTAATTTTGAATGATTTCCTGTTGAATATCTTATTTAGAGGGGGTTTTTTTTGTTAAAGTCTTTAGTAATTAAGTTTAGGAAGTACTGTTCAATGTTCATACTTGACAGTTTGCAGAAGAGGAGGTTGAACCAAGTGATTTTTCTTTTCCTATTTTTACACCTATATTCCACTATTTGTGTATTGGTATTAGTAATGGGGGTTGCGTAAGACAGTTTACTTTTGAAACCACTTTTTTGGAGGGCCTTTTCATATAGTTCTTTATTCTTATTAAAGATTTTTTCATTGAACGATAAATTCCCAAATAGGTTTCTCATACTATCACCAAATGCTAGTAGCATGTCACCCAGTGGCAGATTGGTGGCTTGTGTGTAGGGAGATTTTTTTTTTCTCTAATATCATTATCTTTGTTGCTTTAACTACAGTTATCTTAAAGATTCTCAGAAATTTATACTGAAATAACACAAATTAAAATTCTTTTAACAAGAAAAGTTATTATAATAGAAAAAATATTTACTTTTATAAGAAATTTAAGCTACTTGAGCATCTATCACCTGCTTTAAACTTTTGAATTTCAAAATTATTTTTGGAAATTTTTGATTTGTGGGAGAATAACGGTGTTTGTTTTTCAATTGGGACCAGTCAAAAGGTTTCCCTCCAACCCTACATGCCATTGGGTGGCATGCCACTAGTGTTTACCACTGGTAGCCACTGTCAGATCACCAGCATGTTCATCTCAGCAATATGACCACCGGCTGACCGCTAGTGGTACACCAGTGACTGCCACCAGAGGACGGCTGGCACTAGTCAACTAACAGCTGCTGCCTGAAACCAGGTCATCCCAGTCCAGGAAGGAAAAACAATACAGAAGAAATTTTCTACCACCAGATGAGAATTGAAAGAAACATCAAAGTCGCTCCCATATCAAAGAAAATTCTTTGGCTGATGTGATTGCTTCAAAAATTCTACCTATCCTTAGAAAGCTATTCAGAGGAGTATTTTCTCCTTTCTTCATTTCATTTTTATGCTGTTTACCTTCTTAGGACGTTATGCAGTATTGTAATTTTCTATTGTAAAAAGGTGTATTTCATTTGCATTGATTATTTTTTACATATTTAGCACACAATGCACTTAATTTGTTTAATTAACTTACTTTCTGTGTGTTGTCTGTTTTTAAATTTAGCTTGTGTCATCTGTCTTTGTTTTCCCATATAAATTAAATGTTACCTCAAACATTTGTTTGAACTATTTTTCATTGAGCTTTTTTACCAAATAAAAGATCCTTTCTTTTGATGTGTTTCCCCACTACCATTTCTAAGGCTAGAAGAAAAAAATCTCAAGTTTTCAGTATAAAGACATATACCAAATACACATGAAGATAAACTGTTTTCAATCACAAAACAATGTAAGTAAATGCCTCATTAAACTATAAATCAATGATAGAAAAAGTAAGCAAAAGTTTAAACCTTCAGATTGCTAATGCCAATCCACTCTATTTGTGTTGTGAATGTTCATTACTCGTTTCATGTCAACTAGAATATATTAATTGAAAGTTAATCTGAGTAATCTCATATTTACTAATTTCCTTTTTAAAAGAAAAATTCAGACAAAAGCACCTGTAAAATACATTTGAATTTAAAGCTATAGGTAATTGTATATTTGTATAAATTCATTTTATTTACCAAATTAGTTACACCTTAAAGTGGTAAGAAAAAAAAAAAAAGTTTAACCCATAAATGAATTGCTTTCATTTAATTAATGAATGACAATGGTAACTTTCTTGTGGAAAAAAGTCATGTTTCATAAAACACAGCCTTTTGTACATAAAAAAAAATATAAGTGTATTATCTACATTTAATGACAATGCTTTTGTTAAAAAATAAAAATAAAATTTGAAGCGTTCAAACAACCTCAATATAATAATTTACTTGAAAATTTAAATCTGTTATGTTAAATAAAAATTGACTTTCTTATGCTATGTTTACAATAAAGAAAAAAAAAACTTGGAAAATATTCAGTATCTCCTTTATGTTTTTAATATATAAAAGTGTCTTCAATGAACAGTTTTCAATAAAAAATTGTTTCACTAGCATTATTTCAAGAAATGGAAACTGATAAAGAAAACATTTAAATTTTACTTTGCATTTTAATAACAGATTAAATTTATTCCTTATGGCTTTCTTATTTATGTAATAATATATTAGTAAAATATGAAAGAGTAATAGCAGCTCAGAGTAGCCATTTTCTTTTTTTCAATTCAGCCAACATGACTATTAGCTAAGATTAGCATGTAAATAAGCAAACAAGATCTTGAAATTTTCTGGATCATGAGGAAATTATTTTTTAAAAATTAAAGTTAAATAGAATTTTTTAATCATTTCCTAGAAAAACTTGTGAACCATTCATAAAATGGAGAGACTGATTTGAACAATCCAAAAATAGAAGATGAAAAGCAAAAATTAATAGCAGTTTTTAACCATGTCACAGTTACTATTTGCAGAAAATGGTGAGTAATTTAGATATTCAGTTTTCTACAGGGAAAATAATTCCAATTCTTATCAATACAAACAATTGTGTTACCAAATATTAAGAGAATGACACCAAACACCAACCAAAAACATAAATGCCACAAAAAAGAAAATAAAAAGAATAAAAAATACAATATATCTCAATATATTTGTAAATGTTAGTGAGTATTTTTAGTGTCACAACATTATTTATGTGACTATTTAAAATCATTGTTTACAGAAAAAAAGTTATTCTTTTCTTTTCATATTATTAGGATTAGTCTGACATGAATAATAAAATTTATTTATATAGAAGTATCTACTGATTCAAGTTTTAAAACTGCTAATTTGTCACATTTACAGTAAATTTTAAGCAGAAAACAGCAGGATTGAAAATTTATTACTGATTTTGCAATTTACTGATTTATCTTAGACAGAAAATGAAAAAACCTTTTTTAATAATTTCACCCCAAACAAAGCAATAAAATCACTAAGCTGCAAAGGGTTATTGAGTGTAAAAGAATATGAGAAAAAGAAATTGTCCGAATTACCTAAAGCAGTCAGTTAATTTTATGAACAGTTCACTACGAATGTATCAAAAATAATATTATCTCAAACTGAAATAAGCTTATATTTTATAGATAGTTAATACTATTTTCATAATTCCTTATTGTAAAAATGTAATTTAACTCTATATTTCAGTCATTAATTATTTTCAAATTTATTTTGAAAATGAATTCAAACAGGCTGAATTATTTCATTATTAAAAAATTATTTGAAATTGTAAGAAATTAGATTCTTGTTGAAATAACACTTTTTTTAAACTGTTATTTACCTTGGATTCTTTTGGCTGAAAAACAATGTCAAGCTTCATTGGAGTAAAGGAAAATTATTTTTTGTTTGTTATCCAGATTTATATTAAATAATAAAATGCAGAAAACTATCGTAAATGTAAAAGTCTGATGAAATATTTTTTCAATTTTTACTCTTATTTTGTTTTATTTATATTTTGAAATTAGAGTAACAATAAAGTGTGAAGTTGATTTGTTTTTCAGTGTTTACAAGGCAAAAAAAGAAAGAGATTTTAGATGATGATAACATAAATTATGGAATAAATACACCAACCAGAATGGTATTAAATCAAGTTTAAAATTTTGAAGTAGCAAGCAATGGTACAATTTACTGATGAGATTACTCAAAATTTTATCAGAAAAAAATACAAATGAACCCTGAAGTGTATATTTGGTAAATGCCATATGCAAAAGCAATGGTTTGTTTTAAAAATAACTGCATCATTGCTTGCTATGAATATTTCTTTTAACTTGATTTACAATATTAATCATTTTTAGTGTGTTCTTCTCTTATGATGTAAGAGAGTTCAATAGTTATCATTAGAAAAGATAGTATTATTTTACAATATAGTAACAACCTGAAAACAAACAAACATTTTTTGTAATTTTGTTTGATATTTTTAAATTCAAGTCTTAAATCAGTTTTGTTTTGGGTTCATATATCCAAGTAATGTTCAAAAGCCCATTTCTGTGTATCTGATTTGGAGCATTTCTTGGTGCTGACATGCTGTCCATTCCTTGTGCTGTCAAGGCAAGCACCGGTCTTAATATGGACTAATGTACCATTGGACTGAAAAGAAAAAAAATATTATTTAAAAAAAAAGAAAAAAAAAAAAGAAAATATATATTTTTTTCTATTTTACTTTTGTAATTTCTTCTATGATTAATTGTTTTATTGACAGAAGTCCGATTCACTAGTAAATTTTCTATGAACATTTAATGTAATTAACTAAATGAAAAATAAAGCATTTTTATCAAGATGGTTAAAACTGTTTTAATGATTACAACTATTTAAAGAATATAATCTGAAAACAAAAATAAGATAATCCACAGTGCTCAACTACTTAATCTCCTCTGACTAGAAAAAATAACAAGTGATAATATACTTTTCTTTTAATAATTAATATCAATGGTGCTTGGTTTTTTCATTACCAGTTTTTTCTGGATGTAGGCAAATATGGATCTCCACAACTTCCTGATTTTGTTACTATAACTTTTGTCCCTTTATTATCTCTTTTTTGTTTGTCATCCATCCACACATACTTGTTAAGTCAGTTACTTGTTCCTCCTGCATCTCATATATTCAATGTTCTTTCAGTATCAAAGTCTCCAAACCATCTTTTCTCATTATCTGTCTCAGAAAATTCAGTTATCATTCTAGTTGTAATTACCAATCTACTTTTAGCTTATCCTTAAAACTTTCTCATTGCTCACATATTTAGTCCATGGTATTCTCAGCATTTTTTGGTGGAACCACATCTGTCACTTCAAGTATCTCCATCTCTGAAGAAAATGCCCACCATTCACTTCTATATAAGAGATTAGATATGACATAGTAGTTTAGTACTCTTTTCCTTGTTTTGTTTCTGAAAGGCATCTTTCATTATTCCTATATGCTTCAGATTTCTGTGTCACTTTATCTGTCTTCAGTTACTACACTACCCATATAAAGTTTTGCACCGGTTCCATTTTAATGTTCTCAATATTTAGCTTACATTATGCATCCAACAAGCATGCATCCAATTTCTTACTGTTAATAGTCCTTTCTTCTTTCTTTCCTTTATTACCTTGTCTAAGAGTTCTTTCAATGTTTCCCAAGTCTGTCATGAATACAGTATCATCCACATACCTTATATTGTTAAAATTGTCAGCCAATAATAAAACCTGGTAGGTCTTCTAGTTTTCTTAAGATCAGTATATAGGTTAAACAAATCATGTGAGAAAACACACATTTTGCCTTATTCTTTATATTTATATGTATTAATTGAACCTATTCTCTATCCACACTATTTGTTCCCAGTAAGGGTTACAGATTACTCAATATCTAAGCAAGATTTTCTAATATGTCAAGTATTTGTTTATGTTGTACCTTATTGTATATTTTTGGGCAATGTATGAAGCATACATACAGGTCTTTCTGCATTTGTACTGATTGCTTTAATAGCATTCTGATTATAGAATGGCATTCCTTGAACAAAGCCATTCTGATATTTTCTATATTTTTGGTATAATTCTGCTACAAGCTGCTCTATTCTATACCAATGTGGCTGTCCATTGGAATGCACTTTCAATTACACCTGGTTTCTTTAACATTACTATGAAAATAGATTTCTGATATATATTTCATTTATAATTTGATAATCTTATTGATCCTGAAATCCTCTAAGGCTAACAGTATCTCCATTGCAATCTGACCTGACTTTGCTACTTTGTTTCTATTCATCTTATACATCCTGTTTGACATAACAATTTTTAACCTCTGCTATTTTTCTTTTATGGTTTTATTCATGCTATGTCTAGGTTCTGTAGTTTTTCTCTCTCTGTACATTTGAGTCATTCATCTTTTGATTGCTTACATTTATTTCTAATGTCTTCACCTGGCATTACCTATTGTCATTCTTTTTCATGAGAATTTAATTTCATCTGTCATTCACTTTTGCCATTGCCACAAGTGCTTTCTCTAAAGTGTTCCAGTTTCAGCTACTAACGTCCAAGACTTTACATTTGTTGTTAACAATATCTGTTTGTTTATAAATTAGCATCACTTCATAATCACCATGAGACTCATCCAACTCTTGCCAAATCCTCTGCACTCTCCCTGGATTGACAACCAAACACTCTGAAATGTTCATATTGGAGCTTCCAGCATGAATGCCAAGTAATACAGTATACCATTTCCAAATTTCTAGTAGAGTGAATACTGCTCTTTTTCTCATGGATGGTATCCAACTACTCTACTATTCTGTGCATTCTACAAAATCCAAAACAAACAATGCCCATATGCAAAATTAAAAATATAAAATGGTGACAATAACCCATCACAACCTGTATAATTTAACATTTTTTACTTAGTTTATTCAATAGCAATAAACTTGAGATATATATATTTTTAGCAACTTGTATCACCATGTGATGCTATTAATTTGATACAACTTATTGTCCAATCATTACTGAATTGTTTATTCTTTATTTTTATATATAGCAAACATTTTTTATTCTTTTATTTCCATATATAACTTATAAACATTAATTATTTATTCTTTTTATTCTTTATTTTTCTTGGAAAAAAGGACTGAGTGTGGAACTATCAACCAACATAAGTGACAAAACTGGTTCAGATATTTCAAGAAAGGTGACACCAGCCTTGAAGACAGACCAAGGTGAGGGAGACATTCCCTTGTGCAAGATGAGGCCTTGCTTGAAATGCTTGAACAAGAGCTAAGCACTTGTACATTGTCAGCAGAACTTGCTCCTTCACAAAGTACCATCAATTAACCTCTTCATAAGCTTGGCTTTGTGAACATGTTGTGAAGAAGTTCCTTATGAACTGATCAATGATTGGGCTCAATGATGTTTCAACATTTGCAAACAACTGCTGGAAAATCCTCAAAATGGTTCTATTTTCATAATCCTAATAAGAGAAATCAGTGGCTTTGTTCCAACCAGGCTTCAGAACTTGCTATCAAACCAGGGTAGTTTAAACTGTTGTGTATTTGGTGGAATTTCAAGGGGATGTTGAACTTTAAAATTATCCCAGATGAACATACATTGAACACTGACCTCAACAACTGCAGCAAGTGTACAATGCTTTGAAAGCCCACAACCACATAACAATGCTCCAGCACACACTAATGTCACCAAGAGCAAACTTGAGGTTCTGCCTCAACCTGACTACAGTCCAGACACAATCAGATTACCACCTTTTCAGAACTATGCTTATTTCCTTTATGGATGGAGGATCAACAATGTGGATGTGGTTTATTATTTACTGATTACATTGTATTATTATTATTACTATTATTATTTATTGATTACATTGTATTATTATTATTACTATTATTATTTATTGATTACATTGTATTATATATATATATATATATATATATATATATATAGCAGGCAGACATCCATTTAACACATGAGATAAAAGGTAGCGGCCAGTTTGATCCAAATTCAGTCATTTGGTGGTGAGACTGAAATGACCTTTCCAGTACACAGGCCTAGGCAATGGTATATGAAGGCCCTATTCATGGCCATACCAATAAGATCCAAAGGGATATAGGGCATTACACTTAGGGCCAGCTTTGTTGCAGAAGTTGCATTGGAGACAACCAACTATCCCAGATACTGAGTATTTTTACCCTATAAATACAGTATACATTAAAAGTATATTTTATCAAAAAATAATTCTAAAATATATATATATATATATATATATATATATATATATATATATATATATATATATATATATGAAAATGTTCTCCAAAAAAGTGGTTTTAAAAATAAATTGTGCTACCTAACCCTTATGGACAACACCAAGATATCTGAAATGAAACGTAGACACAGAAAAAAGAAAACTATATGGTCCAAACCCCTGCTTCTGCAAACTGTCAAATATTAACATCTGACAGTATTTTCTAAAGTTAATAAATAAGCACTTCCAAAATAAAAAGCACTTTAAAAAAAAAAAATAAGCACTTTAAAAAAAAAAAAAAAAAAAGATCCTCCAAGTAAGATTAGCTACCCTTGTACCAACAATATTTATAAAATTATCAACTTATACAACAACCAAATTTGAAAGAATTTCTATGGTACCAGCAACAAACCAGGCATTGAACTATCCTGTATTTGTAGATCAAAAGATAGTGGAATTTTTTCTTATTTAGCCATGTTAAGTTACTCCTCTACCCCCTCAAAAACCACTCATATTGATTATAATTTATAAACATAATTCACATTCTGTTAATCCCCTTATCTATAACTCTTAAATTTATTTTTGGGTTCATTTTTAATTTCCACTTTAATTTTAAATTTACGTTAAAAATTTGTGTTTTCTTCTAATACTCCCACTTGTTGTCATAAGTTTAATGTCCTGGGATTTCCCTAATAAAACCTTTCCATGTTAAGATAAACAGCTACCACCATCCTTAACCCCTGCCTAGTGTCAAACTGAAACTGTGAAAAATATAAACTTTGCCTCAAATCTTACCAGCAAGTTATGGTTTAGCTTCCAATAACAATTCCTTACAGTTAACTCCTACTGCATAACAATAATTTATATATAAATTTATGAATGGTGCAGTATACTTAATATTACAATGAAGCAGTCTTACAAAGAATAAATCAGTAAGGTTAATGTAATAAATGGCGAAATCACTCAGGTATTTGACAGGGTTTGGCATGTTGGTCTTCTTCACAAATTGAAGGGTTATGGTGTTTCTGGTTGAATTTTTTTTTATTTGATTCAATATATCTTATCAAATTATGAAATGAAGGTAGTCTTGATCAGTCAGTGTTCTAGGTCTAAACTTGAGTATCCTTCAGGGCTCTATTCTCAGACCTACTTTGTTCATAAGTTTAATCAGTATCCCAATGTCATCAGTTCTTGATTTCATATCTATGCTATGACAACTATTTATTTCTGTCTTAAAAAGTAAATCTGATAGATTTGATAAAATAAAATTGACAGCCGATCTTGAAAATGACCTTCAATCTGTTGTAAACTGGAGTAAGAACCTTCTGCACCTTCTCAGTTTGTTAACATGAATTAGAATCATTGAGCCAATTGCCCATGTCATGTTAGACAATTTTTCTCACATGAATCTGTAGTTCACTTTTATAAGTCTACAATTCATCCCTGCATTGAATATTGTTGCCATATCACATCTGGTTTGATGCTTCAATTAAAAATTCAAAGACTGCAATATCAATCCCAACTTGGCATCATAGTTTCAATCCTTTTTCCACCATAGCTTTCTTGTGCCTTTTCTACAAATATTTTCATAACTGTTCTGATTAAATTTCCTCTTTGATACCATGACTTTATGAATAAGTATAGAACTTGATTGTCAGCTCAGTCTCACCATCTTACAGTTGCAATTGCTAAATATAACCTTCTATAAGTTCTATTCTAATAGTTTCTTTTCTCACACTTCTGATCTATAGAATTCTCTTCCAGCTTCTTGCTGTCTTGTCAAATATAATCTACAAAAATTTAAACTGAAATCATCATCTTCTATCTCCTTGAATCCTGTCTTTTTATTGTTCTCTTCCCTCAGTAACATTTCCTTCACTGTCTTTCATCCTCAGTCTAACATCTTGCATCTTTTACACTACAAGGTTATTTAAAATCGTAAGACTAAATTTCTGTTATATAATGTTGTATAATAAAGAACATTTACATTTTCTTTTACAGATACACCATCATCATTATTATGATGATGATGATGATGGGTTTGATATTAACTATGAATCTCTTAAAGTTCAAATATACATACTTTGAAATATATCCATTGTTGATTTGATTTATGACTGTCACAAGAATAAAGCATTGGCTTATCACCAATTTTGTAAATCTCAAGGCAACCCTCCTCTCGTCTCAACTGATTCTTTAAGCTTAATGAAAAGACCTGGAATACAAGGAGAAAACAAATCATAACTGCTTCTCATATATTAAATAAAAATAATGCAAAAGCTTTTTGATGAGATTACTAATGATTTATATAGTCATTTTTGAGATGAGGAATTATCATTAATATGTAGCTTGTTATTAAGACCAGCATTTGCTTGTCTTAGTTGTTATACTCTCCAGATTCCTCCAGGAGTCTGTTATTATACTCTAATCTTCAGAAAATTTTGAACCAAAATCTTTATTCAATCCATTGTTTTGTCTGCTTTCCATGCTTAGGGGAGATAATTCATATCAGTTAATACTCACCAGTTTTACTGTCACTTGTTTTCTTCCACTAACTTTCAACAAGAGTCATATAGCCTAATAGATTAAAGCATTGATTAAAAAATGTTTGATTCAGTAGTAGTTGTGTGCTGATGTGTAGTAGTTCTGAAAAGTCACAATCTGGTTCAGTGGGAGAAATAAAAAAAAGGGACACAAAAGGTGAAAAGAACTGATGTAAAATATTCCTTAAGCATGGAAAGCAGAATTAGAACATTATATCCCTGTTGATCAAATAAGTTTAAATTAAAAAATCTGAGGTTACCTAGTATGAAAACAGACACCTGAAGAAAGCCAGAAGGTATAATGGCCAAAATGTGAGTATAACAACTAAGATGAGCCTACCGTTAAAGTAAATAAATATATTTTTAAATGCATTTATGGCTATATTCCCAATAAAAAATGATTGGCATTCATTTTTAAAACTTCCTATTATTAAATATCAACATACTGAATCTTAAAGAAACATATTCATCTATTTCACCCACCCTAAATTGTTCATTTTTCAGCCTTTAAGATTTAATTTTATTAAAAATGAGCATAAAAAAGACAATCTAATGTCAAAAGCACAGAAAGCAAGTGTGTATAGAACAACATTGAATCCTAAGCTACATTTCATCATACATAAACATTTCTTTTTCATAAGGCACAGCATATTTTTATTGAAATGGGAAAGGAAAATGAAAAAAAAGGGAAAAAAATAAAAGGAGTGTTTATGAATGCAGATTAATGTTTCTTTTCTTCTTTTCATACAGATAATAATAGTTTTAACTCTCAGAGGACCATATAATGTGGAATAAATAAAAAAAAATTCATAGTGTAAACATCTAAGGAGAAGCTTTTGTTAGTTTGGTCCTGTGACAAACTTATTAGTTATTAGAAATGAAGACTTACCTGGTTGGCACTGATACCATTCTGGCATGAGAAAACACCAATATGAAAACTTTTTTTTTCATCTTCTCCAAGAGTATCCAAGCATAAATTAGTGGCTGGATTCCTAACCTAAAAAGATTTATTAAGCATAAAACCTGAGAGCTGAACAAAAAGTGTTTTATACTGTTACATATAATTTTCAAAGAACGTTTTCAAAAATAGAACATTAAGTTATATTAAAAAATTCAAATTCTTGGCATGTCACAAGGATATAAAAATAAAATATAAATTTTATAAGATACCTAAAAACAAAAAGAAATAAATGAAAGAAGGAACCCTTGACACATGTATCTTGAAAGTTCAATTAACAAATGTAGTCTTTATTTTCATTATTTTGACACTGCAAAGAAAAAAACTAGACATATTTTTCTTTGTTTTGCAAATTACAAAATGTAATATTGTTTAATATTTAATTAAAATAGAATTTTGTAGTTGGTAAAATACAATAGATGTTATATTAAACATTCGAAAATCAAAATCTGCATATTCTTATGAAATGCATCTTTGCAATAAAAGTAATATTAACATTTTTAAAACTTACATATTGAAGTAGTTCAATATTAAAGAAATTGTTTGATTCAATCAAACTGATGAGGTCAATCTTTGATTAATTTTTTTACCATTAGCTTTCAGGTAAATTATATCACCATCCCTTTTCATTTTGTTAAGTGCCACCATTTTTGCAACACCGATACTTTGCATATGGCAAGGCCAGTTTGGTACATTTATTGGAAACTAAAAATCAAACTAAACCCAAGATGTCTGCAGAAATAGAACATATACCAATAAAAACTCAACCATTACAAAGTCTATCTCCAAACAAACAATAATGAACCTACTGATGAGGAAATTAAGAAAGCTATTAAAAAACTAAGGAATAATAAAGTATTACATGACATTGAAGCTGAACTTTTAAAAATGCCTGAATTTCTCCCTGAATTCAATCAGTTCCACTATTTTATATCAGAAATGCATCCTCCAAAAGTGGTGTTTATTATGCATTAAAGCATTATGGAAACAAAAAAGTAGTCCTCAAGAGCCTCACATATACAGAGATATCTCAGTTGAATCCATCATGGTGAAAGTATTAATGAACATTATATTAACAAAGTTCTTGTCAACTCCTCACAACCATATTTAGTTTTTGTTCTGATAAGGGATGTAATTATAGCATATATGTCATCAAACAATTCCAGGAAATTGTATACCTCTTTAATAGGAAACTGTATACTTGCTGCTATGTTGACCACACAACAGTATATGAGCACGCATCAACAGAGACTCCATTTTCTTCTCATCCACTAGAAACTGCCTTCCAAGCTCCAAGTTCACTGAATGCATCGATATTAGACCGAGGAACTTTATCAGTCCACAAGATCTTACATATCTGGAAAATTTTCAAACCTTATCCGGAATATGACATGGAGGAAGTGAGAGCCCAAGTCTATTTAATCTTTTAGTAGACTATGCCCAGCACATTTACAAACACAGATTTGAAGAGATGGGCACTGATCATTTAAGCATTCTATATCACATCCCAAATGAATCTATCAATAAAAAATAGCAATCATGCTTTTCCCTCCCAAGGTTAATGTAGTGATGAGTATAAGATGTCTATGCTGATGACACAGGTATTCATAGTTGGGATATGAATAATCTTGAACACAAATTCCACATCCTCTACCAAATCACTAATAAAATCCATTCAATGAGATAAAAGAAACTTCATGCTTAAATATACATATTTTTACACACACAATTTTACCATGGTTTTGAAAAAGTAGTTTTCCAAAAATTGTCATCCAGTTTATAAAATATTTTAGCAATGATTAAGAAAGACATTTAAAAGAAAAATTTCAATCAAATAGATTTGATAGAGAAAGCTAGAACTTACCATTCCCCAAGCATGAACATTTTCATCAGGAATGAATTTTTCAGGATAAACATTATCCAAGTACCATTTAAAACTCTTACATTTTAGGTTTTGTCTTAAAGCTTTTCGTTCAGATATATCACCATAGTCTTTGCCCTAAGAAATGAAATATTTGGAAACAAAAAAGGAAAAATTAATAATAAATTGTGACTTGCAGTTTTTAAATTAGAGTAGAAATGAAGAAGTAGTTTATTTCCAAATATGTACATGAATATCTATATTTACATTTAAACTTGAATTTTTGCTGAGTTAATATAAAAAATAGGAATGTTGAAGTGAAAGAAAGGTAAAGATATTAAGAAAATGAAAACTCAGAGGAAATTTAGCCTAAAGCATGACACACATTGGTGTCCATAAGACTTGAAAATTATTTCACTATTACTCTCTCACTTCAAAATTGTAACATGATATAATCTCTAATAACATGTTCAAAATTTTCTTGACAAATGGATGTTCAAAAAATTCACCTGAATAAACAAGAGAAAATATACTTTTATTTCAAAGTATTGTATTACCTAAAATCTAATGGAATCAATGAATCTAGTGAGAATAACAAGTTTACATTGCTAAATAGACTTGTAGCATGTTAAAAAAAAGCTTAAAAAAACAGGCTTGTATAAATATCTCTAATATACAGTTACACCATATTGAAAAGTTTCCTCTCTTGGCTGATCATATAATTACAAAATAAATGAAAGTAGAAACTCTTGTATTCTTGTAATCTTGTACGTGTGTGTGTGTGTGTGTGTGCACGCACACCATCATCATCATCATCCCCTTGACTTTTGTAATTGTAAGGGGGAATCCAAATGCAGAAGCCACATTAAATCTCCTCCACAACGGTCTATCAAATGGCAGCCATCAGTATTTCTGGTATAGTCAATGTGGGTGAAAATACGCATCTACATCTACCTTCAACAGTGCCTTGTATGATGGTTTTGGCACAGGCTGTCGTGTCTTGTAATGTGTCCAATTCACACCATTTTTCTCCTTTGACAGTGGCGAGACGAGGTTCCTGGTGGCCCACAAAACTTTCAACCCTTTTCCACACAAACTCATTGTTTTTTGTTACCAATAGAAGATGCCAAGGAGTTTTCTCATGCATTTGTTCTCAAACACTTGGATCATTCACTTTGTATCAACTAACAGTGTCTATATTTCACATTCATATAAGAGAATGGAGACTACCAGTGACCTGTACAACCTGTACTTTGTTTGAAAGCTGATTTTGCTTCTCCATATTCTTGCCAATTTGGCCATCACTGCCATGGCTGCAGCAATCCTTGTGCAGATTTCTGAGTTGCAGGTTCCATCTTTAGACAAGATTGCTCCTATGTATTTAAAACTGGACACTTCCTCCAGTGAATTCCCATTCATGATAATATTGACACAAGTGTTACTTTGGATTTCTTGGAGCTGACTTCCATTCCATATGCTCCTGCTCTTTCAAAAAGTTTATTGGTCAAGTGCTGGAGCTCACTGTTACTACCTGCTATGAGGTCAATGTCATCTGCAAAACGTAAGTCTGTCATCGATAGAGAATTGAAGAATCATGGTCATTCAAGGTTTGTTGCATGATTCTCTCTAGAAATAGGTTGAACAATGTGGGTGAAAGTAAGCATCCCTGTCTCACATCAACAGTTGTCCAGAAGAATCCTCTCATTTGTTTTCCCATAAGAACTGTGCTGGTGGCATTTTTATATTGAGCCTGGATGACTTGGATAATTCTGTTATCTACACTGAATTCCCTAAGGACTTGCCAAAGACCATCATGCTATACACAATGAAATGCTTTCTTGAAATCAACAAAGTTTTGGAACACGTCCTGTGTGTGTACATACATATTTTTATGTTGAGATAGCAATGTTCTGTTAAGGTTTGTAATTTAGTTGCATAAGTTCTACTGCATGTAGTCTTCATTGTGTTACTATATAGTCACTATATTCTCAAAAATTTATCTACTGCATTTTTCATTTTATATCTACATATACTCATTGAAAAAATAAATATGTAGCATTTTTTTTTGTTCCATTGATTTAAGTCTGACATTGATAGGTCATTCAATAACCAACAATAAAGAAGAAATTGAAAACCTCAAAATTACATTAAAAAATCTTACTTAAATTAGCTTAATAATAACAAAATATTCTATTCCTAGACATTCTCAAAATCCATTAACAATACATTTACTCCTTCACTATATAAGCAACTCGCATGCAAAACTCCTGTTGTATCTGTTTATATTTCTGAGATGAGGTATTACAATTATTGACATTGTTCAGACTGTTGTCCTCATCTTTATTGCAATATTCATGAGCCATGAATTTCTATGCTTGGTCAGCTTAGGAGATTTTTGTGGCCTAATCTGGTCAAATATAGAAATGAACACCATAATATTGCAATGGTAAAAAATGGTTGCTGATACATTAAGTTTATAAGTTCCAAAAATTCTAATACCAATGTCGGGCAAAGCCACATGGCCCAGTGGATAAAAGTGTTGGTTTGTTCCAATGACTTGACCCAAAGAGTTGTGAGCTCAATACCTGGCTACTGCAAAAAGTGAACAAAAACTTAGAGAATTGAGTTAAAGGGAGATAACCGAGACATCAGGAAGAAGCATGCTACCAAAATAAAGGGTTCAGTTTGAAATTCCAATCAGCTGAAGGTCAGAATGTGCAATGGCTAAACCACCATGAATAGGGCAATAAAAATGAGTCCGAACAATTTAAATAAAACTCCTGCTATCTTGAAATTAAAATATTTCAATATCCAATCATTATAAATTAGCAATAATAATTTTTTTTCCTAACAGGATCTCATTGTCTCACACAATATTCTTTAAAAAAAAAAAAAAAAAAAAAAAAAAAAAAAAACTCCATAACATAAAACAAAAACTAAGAGTTTCCCTAATTACATTACTGACAACCAAATCAAATTATTTCTTTCAAAACAAGTAATAATATCATAGTTCAAAGAGATAATAGCAAAATATTAATATTTTATTGAATCCAAATTCACGAAAATTACAAACAGAATGAATTCACTCTAAGAAATATTGTTAAAAGAATGTATCACTCCAGTTGTGTAAGAATGCTAATAATTTGAAGAAAGAAAAAAAGCTTAAATTAAACCAAAAGTGAACACAAAAACAAAGAAGGTAGTAGATAGATTGAAGGACATACCAAAAACAAAAGAAAGTACACTTTTATTTTGTTTTCTCATTTTGTGAGTAAAGGGCCTCTCTAGAAGATAATGTTGAAGTCTACTTGGACATCTTGTTAAACTGGGTGCTAAGGGATGATATGAGGGGGAGCGCACTGACCTTGAGGCTGGCATTTTTTTGGAGAGAGACCACCAAGCCAGTTACAAATAATAATTTTATGGCTACAAGTAGAAGAATAGAGTAAGGAAATGATTCTATGCCACTTGTTGATAGGGGCAGAGGGTGGAAATGAGATCTCATTGGATACAATGCAGAAGTCCAAAGAATGAAGAATTCAATCAATTGGTAAGATAACAGTTAGGCCAAAGCCTTCCCCGAAGACAAGGAGAGAAATTATAACTATCCAAGATGAGAAATCTGGAAAACATCAATAAACTTTTTACGACAAAGGACATTTCTGATGATGTGAAGTTGAGACAGATAATTTTAATTTACAAACACGTGCTAGTCATGCACCCAGTTGATTGGTGAACAAGAGAGAGTGAGAGAAAACAGACTATGGCCATTGAGGGGTGTTGGTATAAGGTACAAATAAGAGAAGGAGGGAGAAGTGGGTCAAGTCGACACCCTGCTACCTCTACTCTCCAGAATGGTTCCCCAAATTTGGACATGCAAATTGCTTCCCAGGACACTGTCAGCAGAGAGTTTTGATTGGATATTTGGAAAATCCTGGAATCCTAGATCGATGTTGGAAAGAGGTCCATAAATGTGTTAAATTGGAGGAGAATTAGCAGTAGCAGCTGAGACAGAGATACACCAAGAGGAGATGATCGCTTCGTCAATCTCCATCAGATTGGCAGCCACGGAGAATCCTGACTCACACCTATTAGATAAATTGAGCAGAGTGCCCTGACAAAATTGCAAAGTGGAAGAATTGAAAGTTTCTATATAACAAGAGAAAGAGAGAGGGGAAACAAGTGCTTCATCAGCATTCCATAATTCACTGCCTGAAGAAGTCTCCAACTGAAAGTTTGAAACCTTGACTTGGAAACGAAGAACAAAGTGTCACAAAATTAGACTACGAGGAAATGGTCCCTAACACTGTTTATGCTACAAATTCACTATTTAGGAAGAGCAAGATTGTCATACTCGATCAGAAAGTGTTTCACTTATATTGTGCCTGCTATACTGCACACTACATCAGTCTATAAAAGAGTGTGTGATTTTTTAGTAGTAGTTGTTGTAGTAATTAATTTGTAGTTGTGACAAAGCTTGTGTATGTTGTTACACCAACATTGTTGCCATTATTTGTTGCCATGGATTGTTAATTTTGTGAGAGATGGAGCTTTTTGGTGTTTTCTTTTGCAATAGTGTCAGTGAAATATGTTATATGGTCTTCATTGTCAGTGTTGGCTTTGGGAACAAGTCTATGTTTACATCAGTTTTGAAATTCTTTCCAGTTGGAGGTTCCAAGATGGTGTTTTATCTTCTAGTTTAGGGTTCTGATTTTCTAATATGATCGAGAAATGTACCCTGATTGCTTCACCAAGTCTAGTCTATGTATATGGCAGGGTTGCATATTGTTAGGTCTATGTTAGAATATGTACCTGTTACTGGATGTAGGTTTGTGTATGATTTATCGTCAAAAAGACATTTCTGGTTTATTAATGTTTCTATGGTTCAGCCTTTCTTATTTGTTTCTTTACTGCCCTATAATTCATCGTGGCTGTTGAAGTCTCCCATCAGGATAAATGGTTTAGGTAGTTATTAAGTTGTTTATTTCTATTTCATTAATGATATCACTAGGTGGTGTATATATATATATATATATATATATATATATATATATATATATATATTGAGCAAATAGTGATGGTGCTATGTAAAGTTGTGGAGATTGCAACTGTTTGTATATTTGTTTTTAAATTTATTTCACTGTGAGGGATGTTATTGTTGATGGGTACTGATGACCCACCTGAGGCTTCATTTGCTTATTTATTGATATGTTTGTATGACATGTAGTGTTTAAGGTCTAATGTGTCATTTTCTTTCAGGTGAGTTTCTTGGAGACATAATATTGCTGGGTTGTATGTTGTAACAAGGTGTTGTATCTCATTGGAATTAATTTTTGCACCTCTCACATTACACTGCAATATTCTATTTAACGGGGTTTATTTTGGGGTATCCATGCTTTATATGCTCTCAGTTTTGTCTGGGGCTTCATCCTTCCATTTTGTTCTTTGAGTGAGTTTTTGTTTGTCTGGCTTTTCATTAGGTTCTTTTCGTGGTCTTTGTTTTGATGTAGATCATTCTCTTGGTCTAGGTGGGTTCAACTTTTGTTGCTCTACTACCATTTCTCCTGTGTCTTCGGGGTTGTGTTGAGTGGGATTACTTTTTGTGTGGTCCTTTAGTTTCTCTTGTGATTGTTTGGAATCTTCTCGTTCTTTTTGTATTTTGGTTTAAGTTTTTTGAAGTTGTTTTTCTGGTGGTTACATGTTCTTTTGTTTTGTTTGAGGTTGAAGTGGGTAGGACTTGTTTCAATGGAGGGCAATGAGTTGATGCATATTAAGCTTCTCTTCAGCAACGCTTTTTTTTTTTTTTTTAAATTTGTTTATAAAGGGCTCTTCTTCCTGTCTTCACATTGAATGATTCTCCTGCATTTCCCTCAGGGGATTCCTTGTCCTGGTAATACCTCGATATGATGTTGGTAGTATGGAGTCTTCTATGTGTTTTCTTGCTTCTTAGAAGGAGATGCTTTCAGTGTATTTAATTTTTATTGTTTTTCCTTCTTCCAGTTTTTGCATTCTTTAGAATCTGCGGTGAGATCTTGCTTGCAGTTTGGACACAAAGGGGTTTTGACACAATCCCCACATCTATAACATATTGGTGTTCTTGTACATTGTTTTTGTACATGGCCAAATCTTTGACAGTTGTGACATCTACAGAGGTTAGGGATGTATGGTTCTACTTTGGTTATCATATAACCTATTCTAATCTCCTTTGGTGATATGAAATTATTAAAGATCAGAATGTATGTGTTGGTGTCTATTAGTGTTCTGTTTCTCTGTATTTGTATCTTTTTCATGTCTGTTATGCCTTGATGTTTTAATGAAGCATTATTTTTAATTTCTTCTGATGAGCATAACAAGCGGTCTGTACTTGTTATAACGCCCTTGGAGAAATTTAAGAATTGGTTAGGGTATGTTTTTACTTTCATTTTGTCAAATTGACTTTGTCTTTAGCAGAATTTCTGCATCTTTTGTAGTTTTTACTTCTATCAGAAGTTATTTGTATTTGTGTTATTTGTATTTTTGTGATAGATTTTGGGTCTATCATGGCCAACATAACTTTTTGGATTATAAAGGGGAACAATTCTATGACGATGAAAGTGGGGGATTTTTTTGTTTCTGGTTTTCCATCTTCACTCTCAGTTTCTGAGCTTTCATATCCTCTCTTGGTTCTTTTATAAATATTTGCCATAAAATTATTAATTTACTGTTTCGCCATCCATGCTCACCAGTTGCCCCAGAGTTCCTTCTTAAGGGATGCTATCAGGGAGAACTAATCCCATTCGCCCTGATCCATCAGGGCTGCACCGACAGCATAGTTACCCAAGTATAGTGTGGTGTAGAGACTCACAGCTGTGTCACAACCATTCTCTTTCAACTCAACTAACCCTTGCCACTATGTGACTAGCCAATTGGATTGGACTCAGTCCCAGGGCATCACAGGTTGCCATCCATGGCAAGCAGGTAACCTCACTGGGGTGAATTGACAGTTTTTAGTTGTTTTGGATCCATTTGTAGGGTCTCTAATTAGTTTGGGAAACTAGGTTGTTTTTTAATTTTTAGGAGATTTGTGTCTTGTGCAGTTTAATATCACACCTAGATCAATTGTTTCAATTTTGTAGGTGGATAATTTGTTATTTGAGTGTGTGTGAATAATCTTGTTTTATGGTCATATGATTGGTTAGCATTAAATTTTATGGTCATATGATTGGTTAGCATTAAATTTTATGGTCATATGATTGGTTAGCATTAAATTTTATGGTCATATGATTGGTTAGCATTAAATTTTATGGTCATATGATTGGTTAGCATTAAATTTTATGGTCATATGATTGGTTAGCATTAAATTTTATAGTCTATCTATTTACAGGATATATTTTTGGGGGTGTATAGTTGTTTGTATAGTATGTAAATAGTTTGTAGACAGTTCTGCTTCGTAGATGTTTATTTGGTAGGCAATTTTCTTTCATAGATGTACATTTTGTAGATACAAACTCTATTTAACCCATAGTTAGGACCCTGACAGGTACCACCAGTCTGGGTCAGAGTGAACCTGGGGGCAATGGCAACTAAACATTAGTTCCACACTCCCAAAGAGGGTCCTCACCACCATATGCAGTTTCAAGTCATATCCAGTCATTTTGATCAGTAAGTTGATGTTTCATTTTAAAACAAATATCAAATGACTCACTTGCAAAATAAATTCAACTAGAATTACCTGAAAAAATTCTCAATATGGCTAAATTCAAACATTGAGGAGTATTTAACTTGAAAATGTAGTAATTAGAATTAACTTTGAGGAAATCCAGTAGAGTTCACAAAAACTGCTTTTTTACCAGTAAATCCCGTCTGTGCATATAGAATAGGCGCCGATATTCATCCATCCAAACTTCAGCCAATCGCATTGAGTTGATTCCATGATAATCTTTTTTACCTGAGATCAAAAAGAAAAAAAATTAACAAATGTACCCGAGTAATGAAAAGTCAATAAATCTGAAAGCCAATCTTCAATCCCAAATGTTTATTCATCACAACTCAACTTTATCACTGAGTAACATTTGTATAGGTCATATCTTACATTAAATCAATCATATCGAAGAAGTTAAAAACAAAATTTAAGGTAGGTAATTAGTTATTGTTATTTTATTTTTTTTAGTTTAAAACAAAGCATCATTAATTATTTCTCAAATGAGGTATTGTAATTATTTACATTATTTACATTGTTCAGACACTTGTCCTAATCTTTATTGCCATATTTACAATGTTTTGGTCATTGTACACTCCAGCCTTCTTCAGGTGATTGGAATTTCAACCTGAACTCTTCATTTAATCTATTGGTGTAGATTTCTCTAGTTTCACATGTCATGCCTCTTCTGGATGTCTCAGTTACCTCCTTTTAATTCACCTCTCCAAGTTTTTGTTCACTATTGCCATAGCCAGGTACTGAACTCACAACTGTTTGGGTCAAGTCACTGGATCCAACCAATGTTTTTATCCACTTGAGGACATCAATGTATGAATTTTTGGGACTTATAAACTTAATGTCTCAGTAACTTTTTTTGCAATTTTGTTGTTATTATTGCATTATTTTTTTACCAGAGCTCATATTGCAATGAGTCCAAAGCATGAGTCTGAGGTCAGTCTGTCCCTGACTACCAAGTGTACTTCCTCCATGAGTATCTTGTTGAACAAATTCACCACATCTAGGCCCACCATCTTGCTGGATGGATGTGAGCATTGATTACTTCCATGAAAAGGGTGAAGTTTCAGATATATGAAGGTGATATTCCTATATGGGTCAATTATATCTACACGGAAGCAACTCAAACAGTGGCACACAGAACCTTGGCAACTAACAATTGACCTAAGTGGAATACCATCTTTGTGAATTCTAGGGAGGCAGCTTGGTGTAACATGCAACAACTGCCTGTATGTCTTAGGTGGGAAGTGGTCCTTGTTCTTGATTAGGATCTGCAACAGTTTTTGTCCTCTTTTCATTGTTGGATCTTTCTTTACTGCAGCTACCATTTCTAATAAGGTTTTCTAGCTTTCCTGTATATTCCAATTTGTCCATCACAATTGCATTGCCTTTTTCAGCTGGTAGTACAATGATGTTTTCCTTCCTCTATAGATTGCCAGCCTCTCCAGTTTCATCATGTTTGACTTGGGCAGCTTGGCTTTATTCAGAATCTGTTTCATCCCATCTTAGCTCATCTGCCTGAGCCTGAGGGATGTTCAAGGCTATTTCCTAGATTCACACAATGATGTCCAAGTATGGTACCCACCTGATGGTCGTGGCAAAGTTGAGACCCTTGTTTAATACTGACTCCTCAGAGGCACTCAGCTGGTATTGACTAGGATAGAAGGGTACAAAAAGGATAACAACACTCAGAAAACAGCTTCGGTCTGCCTACCTAATGGGAAGGGATTATTGAAGAAAATACAAAAGATCTTTAGGACGGCCTTCAAAAGGTGGTTTGACACTTTGCAGACACCTCTTCTGAGTAAGACCCCCAATAGAGGAGAATATGACTAAGGACTGTGTGTACAACATCCTGTGAAACTGTGGTAAAGAGAAACAGGCCACCCCCACTTAAGGTAAAACTGCAAGAACATTGTAAAGCCATAACATGAAGAGAAATAGAAAAATCAGTAGCTGACCACATATGAAGGGAAAGGGAGATCACAGCCCCCTGTGGGATGAGGTTGAAATAATAGAGAACATCACTGAAAAATACAAAAAATTAAGGAATCAGCACATATGCTAGGCTACAAAAATCTAAGCCAGCCAAAAATACAATATAGGAACCAGTAATAAGTGCTAGAAAAAAGCAATAATATTAACAAAATTGCAATATGAGCTCTGGTAAAAAAATAACATTTATTAAGTTTATAAGTCCAAACAGTTGTGAGTTCAATACCTGGCTACAGCAGTGGTAAACAAAAACTTAGGGAGTTGAGTTAAAGGGAGAAAACTGAGACATTCTGAAGAGGTATGGCATATGGAACTAGAGAAATGAAGGTTTCAGGTTGAAATTCCAATCACCTGAAGAAGGCTGGATGGTACAATGACCAAAACATTGTGAATATGGCAATAAAGATTAGGACAATAGTCCAAATAATGTAAATAATTCCTCAACTGTGTTTATCTCTTTTTTGTAATATTTTAAAAAAAAAAAAAAATCTTTATAAATCTTTTCAATAGTAGAGAAAAAAAAAACACCACTCTAAACCTCAAATCAAAACCTTTCAAATATCTTAAAAATAATCACTTAACACACAAGTATGAGAAAGTTTAAAGAAAATGTTATGATGCTTGGGAAAATTAGAGTAGCATGAAAGCTGATTCTCCAGAAGGATTAATGAAAAAATAACAGTGTAGATTAAAAACATAGGCAGAAACAGTAAGTGGATTTAAGTCTATTTATTTCTATTATTTGATTTCATTGAATGACATACTTGTTGAGAGAGGGCACTTTGACATGGCATAATGGTTGACAAGCTGTGACCAGCTAAAATCAACTTGGACAAGTGGCCCAAGTTGAAACACTCAGGTTCTCATGTTAAAAACTGACTCAGTGGTGGTGGTGGTGGGGGTTAGGTCAAGTAAATTTCCATACTTGTTGAGAGAAATGAAGTGTTTTTACAAAATAAAAATAAACAGCATACACACAGGCAAAGCAATTAGAATATATAATGATCTATTTTGCATCATATATTTTATCTTATAAAATTTGCCATATTTATGAGGGAAGTGTAATCAATATCAGAGTTAGAGCATTTGTAGCTGTAGATATGTGTGTGCATGTGCACACCTAGAAAAACAGATATAAAGACAAACACTATTTACAAAATAATAGTCTTTAAAATGTAATGGACATCAATTCTATTCTATATGTAACATCTTTAAAACACTGACAATTTATCCAAATATTTTGAAACAGTTTTTACCGTTATATAAGGATTCATTTGTACTAATTTCTTTATCACAATATTTTTATTAATAATGTTTTGGCTACTGTATTATCTTTGGTTATCCATATTTGGTATATGCTATATTTGCAATGTTGAACCTCAATCTGAAGGGGCATGTGCTTCTCTTTCTATATGTATCAATTCTCCAGGAGTCATGTATGCAGAATCTCTGCATACATAAGTCTGTATATTGTAGGGTCAGAAAGAGTTCCAAGAACTCACAAGAAGTGGTATTGTGGATTAGAGAGGATGAGAAATGCAATGAACAACAACAAAAATAAATAAATATAAGGTCTGGTAAAAAATGCAATAATAATAACAGAAAAAAAATGATGGCTGAGAAATTAGGTTTATAAGTCCGCAAAAATTCATACACAGATGTCCTCAAGGGTACATGGCCAAGTGGATAAAAACGTTGGTTAGATGCAGTGACTAGACCCTAACAGTTGTGAGTTCAATACCAGGCCTTGGAGAGTTGAGTTAAAGGGAAATAACTGAGACATCCAGAAGAGGCATGGCACATGGACGAAATAAAGGATTCAGTTTGAAACATTGTGAGTCTGAGTAAAGTAAATAATGCAAGAAATCCATCTAAATACAACAGACACATAAAATGAAAAAAGATTGAGTAATTGAAATATTGTGATGTAAAAACAGATAAAAGAATTAGTGTGCTACTCTGATTATTCTAGTTAATAACAATTCTTTCTTCAATTTTTGCATTAAATCTTATGTTGAGTATTTTAGTTTCATTGCTTTTATTATTAAAAATTAATTATGCTATAACCTGTAAGTGGATGAAATAACTATTAAAGTTAATTAAAAGTCATGTAAATCATATGAAACAATAACAAGTCAGTTTCAAAGTTAAAAAACAGAAGAAAAAAACAATTCTTGGTCATCTTCACTTCAAACATATTTGTCATTTGCAAGAAAAGAAATCAGTTCAAACACTTACCTACTAATAGAAATATATTTATAGACTAATTGAAGAAAATATAAAGAAAATATTGCAAAAAAATGTAAAATGTAAAATGCTTTAAAAATAGACATTGTTACAGATTTAAATAGAAATAGTGAAAAAGAGAAAAAAAGAAAGGTTCATTAAGAAAGGAAATAGAAAATTGGGGAGAAATATAAAGAAAATATAAACTCTTAAGACTTACTGCTGCCTGTCATTAAATTACCCATTTATACAGGTTAGTCCAGACTAGTCTGTTCTAACCTGTATAAACAGGTAATTAATATAGAAATAAATAAATTGAGAGAATTGTTAAGCTTGGTGAAGTGAGTTTTTGTAATAGAAGGAAAAAATCTAAACTCAGCAATATGCTGAGTGTGAGAAAACAAACTAGAAAGCATGTGGTTGTCAAGTTCAAAAGGAGAAAATTATTTGAACACTGTATATGATTGGCAGGCAGAAGAGCAGGAGATCCATTTCTCTATCTTCTGCTAATGTCATAATTTAAAAAAAATAAGTGACAAGATAGGTGATTTGTTAAACTCACAAGGTATAATTAGGACACACTTTAATTTTTTTATATCTGAAAATGTAGCATCTACTCTTTGAGATCAGGTTAGCTACCTTACTCCCAGATTGCTACTGGCTCAATGTAAATGTATCAAAATACTGATTCCCATCTGTTCAAGCTTATTCACATAAACAAAATCTTGCAACTATTTGACTGAATAACTTATTCAGTGAAATAATTGTAGCATCTCATGAAAATCTGAAGCTCATATTATCAGTCATTTTCTATTTTACCAGCAATTGGGTAATGATTGGCAGACAAGTGTGTGTTAACATAGGCTTTCAGTTTGCCTATTGGTTCTACATAATTTAATGACATCATAGAAAATTTTCTTGTCTACTAAATCTAATTTCAGCCCATTTACATGATTATTCTGTCTAGCATTGTTTCATAGCAAAAAGATACAGTTTTTAACCAATGTTCCATCAAAGAATTAAAATCATTAACAGTAGGTTGGTTATTTTTACTTAGCAGCATATCAACATCTATGGGTTATTTAATGGCAAAATTTAAATATTGTGTACATATTTTTTTTGGTGGAAGGGGGATAAAGTTTTAGTAATACAACTCTTACTAATTAACCCATAGCTGTGGGGAGAAGTGGTGGATTCATACCTTTCCCAAGGGTACTTGCACACAATATAACTGGAATTGGAACTGCTCTCTGATTAACAATTCAAAGCCATACAGTACATACACATCCAAGTTTATAGCACCTGGTACTCCCAAGCGATCACCCATCTAGGTACAGACCAAGCTTGATATTGTTTAACTTCGGTGATCATATAGGAACTGGCATTTCAATGTGATGAGGCCATAACCCCATATTAACAGTAACAGAAATAATATTATCAGTTTCTTCAGTTATTATACAATTTTACAGCCCAACATATATATATATATATATATATATATATATATATATATATATATATATATATATATATATAATTTGACATATTTTCTTAAGAGAGTGAATAGGAATATAGGTGTGGATGTTGAAAAGTTCTTATCCCAGCTCATTTCATAAAATCAGATGAAATGAACAAACAACAGAAATTTTAAGAGCTTCTTAGTTAAGCTGAAAACATTTCAGCACAGAGTGTGTGTGTGTGTGTGTAATTATTATAGATATTTCTCTTTTAAGCTTTTATAATATCAGGTAAATTAGAGATTACCTGTCTCAGTTGTATCTGAAGTAAAGACAAGACCATAAAAAACTAGTCCAATTAATTTATAATTTAATTATTATATAATTCAAAGTGAATTTAATATATAATTTATATCTGATGACTTCTCTTTCATCAGTAACAAAAATAAATTGATATTACACCTCAGAATTTGCTACTACAAATTTTGCAGTATATGAAAATTATCTGTGTCATTGTTTAATTTCTACAACAAACATTACCAAACTCTTTAGAGATTAGATCCTTAAGTTAGAATAAATAAATTGAAAAGAAGTACTTACTTGGAAATCCATAAGGATGTGATGATCTGAATATATGCCCAACTCTGGAACAAGGAACAAACTCAAGAGAACCACCACACATCCATATCTAAAATAAATAGATACAAACTCACTTTCTTTTTTTTTCATTAGAGTTAGCAAATAAGTATTATATTAATGTCAGTATTTGTTGAGAAATCCATATAATAAATCAACCATCAGCAAAATGCATGAAACAGAAATAAAAATATTCCAACTCTATACAATAAATAAACATTAACATTTTATCTTGCAGACATTTCTCTTGATATTATAAAATCCTGTTGGCTCTGCTGATCAAAGTTAGACAGTGATGATAGTGAAATAAATAAAATATTGGTAATATGACCCCTTTCAAAATCAAACATTTCATTCTCCACTTGAGTATGAGGCATTATAAAGTGATTATGGTGTTATCTCTCTTGAATCTTTGAAGCAAATTGTCACAAGTCATTTGTCAAGGAGTACATTTTTATTCAATGTAGAATTTGAAAAAAAAAAAAGAAAATAATAATGCTGCTTACCTACTCAATCTCTGCCCACATTTTGGTGATGAATAACTAAAATATGCAATTTACTTAAGTATCACTTTTGGTAGCAATTGCTTGATGTCAGAAAATTTCCAATTTGTAGAATTTATATTATTTGAAAATGTTCATTATCATCATTATGAAAGTAGCATCACTACAATGTCACTGATTGAGAACAGACAGATCAAGGATTCTTCCTGATTTTCCTCTTAAGAAAAGCATAAAGCTGTGTGCAACTTGTTCCCTTCTTCCACTGAATCAGAGTATGACTTTTCTGCACCACCCAGTTCAGGGATTGAACCTCAACGTCCAAGGAACCAGAGATGTTTTAACCAATGCTTTAAGAAGGCTTAGAAGCATGAGGAGCTAAATGAGTGCACTCATCAAAATGGTAAGGTGTATAATAATAATCATAATTCCTCATCTAAAAAAATTCTGACAGATTATCAAACTATTACAGATCCAAGTTGACTCCATCAGAAACTGGATTTATTACTAAATCATCTTACATTCATTTGTAGATGCAAAGAACTGAAGCTAATCCCACCTGGCTCAACTATTCAAACATCAGTTAATTCCACAAAAGCATGAAAAATTGTCTAAAAGAGGAGTACACTCTGTAACAGAGAGAGGTATACACACACACACACATCCACATAAACACAAACACATATTTTTTTTTATTGAAATTGGAGTGAATCTAGCTAGTGAAATTAGATCAGAGCTTTTTGTTTACTGATGAGGAAATCTGATATCGCCTTTGGAATTGGGTTGTTGAAAATACAATGGAAATGATCTAAATAAATTTTATTGGTTAAAAATTGAAATAGAGCTTACTCAGGCTATGAGAACTTTGAAACTCACATGATTTTGGGTTGAAAACAGCACTCATGATAATCACGTGCAGACCAAGGATCGATTTATGATCAGTCAGATTTATCTATATGAACACGTAGTTATGCTGAAAAAGTGCCAGATGGAAGAGAGAGACCGTGATCGGTCAGCACATCGTTGTTGCATGCATGAGCACCCACAGGCGACCATTATGGGTTGCAGTGCTACAAGCCAGACGGAAGAGGCAGAGAGTGGTTGGCTGGTCTGCCCTCGAGTGCAGATGGAAGAGAGAGACTGCGATCGGTCAGCACATCGTCGTCACGTGCATGAGCACCCACGGGCGACCATTATGGGTCGCGGTGTTATAGGAGAGACGGAAGAGTCAAGGAAAGAGACTGTAGTCGAGAGTGTCACAAGACTATCGTCGCAGTGAGTGGAGAGATTTGAGGGAGAATTTTGGAGAAGAGAGAGAAGACTAATCCCTGTTCTGCGAAGTCTGTATGAGACGTGACTATTACTCATAAACCTATCCCAGGCGATTCAATAAACATTTATCACACACAAACCCTCTCTCTGTTGGGAATTCGCTGGATGCATTTTGTCTTTTTCTTTTCTCATTTATGTTAAATGTTTTTATTCTCCCTGTAACCTCTGTTCTGATGTTATCTTCTTATATAAAAGACGTCAATATTTCCCCCATTGTTGTCTGGCTTCTGTAGTTATTATTTCTTGTTTTATTTTGCCACATTCTAAACTTCCTAGCGCCGACTCTCACAGCCATGTCCACATCCCCAGTCGACCGTGAATGTATGAACACCCCACTTACTGGATCTAAAAACTAACACAGCATCTGCAGCGAGCAGGACTTGACCAGTTGACTGGTCAAAATGATCTACGGGTACTCAGGGAGCGTACGACCAGTTGCCCCTAAGTTCAGTTCAGACTGAGTGGACATCTCAACCCAAAGAGGAAGACGCCGGAGGTTGAGGGGCTGGGGACAAAGTGGTACAACTCTGGTTAGAGCCACTAGATGAAACATCAGTTATAAAGTGAACTCTTCAAACAAACAGACTCATTTATAGACTAAATAACATCAGAAATAAATAGAAATAAAATTTAACATGACCTGGACAAGTTATAAAAGCAGCACTGAAAGAGTCAAGGCAAAACTGCAGTCAGCATGTGAAAGCAATTGTCAACATCAACAAATATCAGTTATGTAGCTATATAGGAAATAAACAGATATCTCAAATTCATAAGTACTATCAAGTGTGTGCTATACATTGTAGCTCCAATTGAGAATATCTTCACAGTTTGAACAAATACCGACAACCTACCCAATATTATAGTAAGTTCCCACCTATCCCTAAATTCACAAAAAATGGTATTCCACTGAGAACCAAAGTCATTTGTCAAGACTTAACCTGTTACCAGTTAGGTATAATCAATTCACTAACAGGTAAGTCTATGTTATATGTGATGAACTATACCCACTTTGTGTAGACCATTAGAGATGCTCCCATTCATACCAGCTAGATGGTGATCTTGGACATTGTTCATCAAAGTACCCACAAATAAGGCTTTATTCATGGTTCAAGACAAAATAAAATTAAAACTTTTTCTAGGAAAAAAAAGAAATTAGAATCACAATCTACTGCAGATTGGATAACCTGATAAAGATATTGACATTCTGCATGCAAACACACTTCCACTGGATTATCCAAAAGACACATGGCCTAGCTGATTAAAGCATTAATTAAAACATATCTAGTTCCCTGGCAGTTGCAAATTCAATCCCAATTTCAGTGGAAGAAAATTACAGGTGACATAAAGGCAATTAAACCAGAAAGTATAAACTGAAATGAGATACGCCCCAACTATGGAAAAAGGAAGAACAATCTACTCCCTGTGAATTGAATAAAGGGTTTGAATTAAAAAGGTTCAGAAGATTACCAAGTATGACACCTGAATAATGTCAGCGAGTACAACAGCTGAAACACTGTAAATCTAACAACCAATAGTAGTCTGAAAGAAAATAAAATAATGATCATTGCAAAATAGATTTTTAATACAAAGATTTAAAAAATAATTTTATCAGAAAGTTAATTTTTTACTTGATTAAGTAAAAAATTGATTTCATTTTTTGCTAAAGTTTTAAAAAATAAAGCCTTAAACTCCATATTCTTTTTGCATTTTATATAAGTTTCAATCTGAGAAGTAATGGAAATATATAAATTCTGAAAGTGGAGATAATACTATTAGGAAAGGAACAGTAAGATTTCTATTTGGAAAACTAGGAGAGAAGTCAACAAAAACAATTAAGGATGGTTTTGTAGACTATGGTAGAAAAATGATCCAGCAAATTAAAGTTGGAACATTCACAACAAATATCAATATATTGATTAGTATCATTTAAAATCATTTGAAAGGATTTAAAAAAAAAAAAAGTAAAGATTGATGATTTGAATGAGTAACAATACAATTATATGAATAAAGTTTTATATTAATTCAATCAAACTGAACTGGTTCTGAATATTATCAATGGTGGTGAAAAATGAATTTTGTAAAATACCCAACGAGAAACTGAAACATCAATTCACATCTCTAAAAATATAGTAAGCATTTTGGATTTTCCTTTAAAGTAGCCAAACAAGTTTGAGTTTTAAAAACTATATCAGTTTCCACTTTGGAAATTTTGCAGTGTGATAATTTTACAAAAACAAAGTTAAGTCAGCTAAAGACTTTACTGCGTCCTAACCATCCCTCCAACCAAGCACTTCCCAAGAGATAACTATGCATACTTAAAGAATTTCTCCAGTCACAATCAAATTGAAGTATCAAAATTCACTGAGTATGAAGAAGTATTTAATAAAGAAACAATTTAATGCAAATGTTAAATGAATGAATATTTTGATTAAATAAATAATTTTTTTATTAGTTTTTCAGTTTTATTTTGATTAAATGAATCAACAATTTCATGATGAACAGCCAGATATAATGATAATATTTTCTTACCCTGAATGAGATTTCCAAATTTTCTCCTCCCCAGATTTCCATACCAGTGTCATAAGCACCAATTTCAAAGAAGAAATTGCGATCAATAGCAAAAAGGCCCCCAGCCATGGTAGGAGATCTAAATAAATAAATACAAGTTATTTCACTAATCAAAAAACACATTTGGATAGAGAGAACAAAGACAAATAACTGCACATAACTTACAAGAATTATTATGACATTTTTTCTAATTTTAAATTAAAAAATAATATTTAAAATTACAACTTTGAAAATCAGAATCATCATAAAAGGCATCAAAATGAATGAGCACTGGAACAGGAGAATCCAGAGTTATACAGCAATTTATCTGCATTCACATATCACCAGAGTAAAATGTCTACACTTAGGAAAATGTCTCATCACAGAAATGAAATTGAGTGTCATATTTAATAATGAATGACAGTTGGAAATTTCAAATTGTGTGCATATTTAATTTCTCTAAAGTGTATGATTGGATGTCATTCCAAAAAATGAAAAGCAATGTCTGCACATGAATATCGAAAAAAGATGCTTCAAATATCACTACACAGAAAACAGTTAATTCAGGTTACATTTTACTAGGAACTTCTCTGGTTAAAGAAATCTATCAATGCTGCAAAGTGTAACTGAGGCGGTTGCTTAAAAATGCTCACAACTGTATAAAAAATACACATTCCCTAACTGACCAATTTGCGTTGGAAAGTTTCACACACACACACACACACACACACAGTGTACTTTGATTACTTTTACCATTTCCTGAATGAACATGGCTTCTGAAATGACAAAATGAAAACAGTGCAACAAACTTTCTCTAATTTGAAAATGATATTCTATTTAAAAGGAATCCATGATTTTTCTGCATATTGGTAGAAAGTAATAAATACTATATTTGAATAATTGTTAATTACTTTTTGAAGAAACAAAATTTGATGATTGCACAATTTTATATACTTTTTTTACCAACATAATAGTATTATGCATCTGTATGTAAATTTTATAACACTAAAAAAAATGTTGATCCTTATAGTAAGTAAAATTGCAAATTAAATTTTCAACATTGTGTTAAAAGCAATACACAACGTGCTCATAACAAACATTATCAATGACGTAGAATGAAAGCTAAACAGATGTCAGAAGTAGCATGGTTTTAATTAACTTTGTTTATTTTTGATCTTGACCAGATCCAGCTTGATACTGGGAGATGATGTGAAGCACACTTCAGGTACCAGCCAGTGATGCCTACCTTCAAAAAAAAAAGGAAAAATTGACTGTCCAAGGAATCCACAGCACCTGACCGTTTTATATTATACTTCATTCAAAACATGCCATGAATATTAGTTTTTTTCTAAAACTGCTAACAGCTGTTACTCATTCTTTTTAACAACAGAGATTGCAGGTACTTATGCACCAAGGTAAACAAAAGTTTTCATTTATCAAATTTTGGATCAATCAATCATAAATTAAAAAACATTTTAAAATCAGAGTGGACTGAATAAAGAAAACTTTTATTTAGAATTATTTCAATAGTGACTGAAAAAAATAAAAAAAACTAAGAAAGTCAAACATTTCCAAATCTTAATGGATTTTTAAAAAGAATTTAAAGAGCCATGAACATTATTAACAAATTAATTTTTAAAAAAATCTTGTTTTTTTTTTTTAACTCATGTACAATTTTTGTTTTCAGATAATTTTAAATCAAAAGCAATTCCAAAGAGTAATGTTGATTAATGAGTTTTGTACAGTACTGTTTCCTATTTCATTGTTTAAAATTATCTTTTTCTCACATGAAAAATGAGATGGATGTTCAAAAAACTTTTACAACAAAATCAAGAAGTTTAGAAAACTTAAAATTGATTAATATACATTAAATTCTATTTATATCATTGTAATATAACAGCAACTCTAAGCAGAAGCTTATGAAACTGACTAATTGAGCTTTATTGCTGAAAACGTTTATTTTATTATAGTGGATGGTTACAAGTTTATTACCACATTCCCACTCCAGTATTTATTTTATTCATATGGAAGAAAATCCTTCAAATGACCAAGCATATTTTGGGTCCTTTGGAATCATCAGGATGATTTGACCTTATCAGGTCTCTTTTTTTTCTTTTTTTTTTCTTTTTGATTATTCCTCAGGTTCTCTTTAATCTACTTTGATACTTGGACTGTTCACCTTATGAATTAGAAGAGTTGATAGTAGAGTGAGCTCATTTCTGAGGTACCAACCATTCATCAAAACTTGAAGGCTCTAGGTAATCCTCATAGGGTGACTACAGTGTTGTCAATGGAATTATCACTTGATGTATTGAAAGCAGTTATCACAGGTACTTGTTCAGTTACAGGACTTACTTCCTTCCTGCTGAGGCCAGATCTTGAGAGTATCTTGTCTCCCATCCAGATAGTGTACTGGGAGTTTAGCTCTACTTTATCCATAAGTGGTTTGTGCTTGCTCTGGCAAGCATGATGGCTCAGTAGCATGGTCCTGGATTGTGAATGCTGCAATGTAAGGAAAAGAGCTTCACCACAGGAAGGTGAAGACCCTTTCATGTGAAATGGCATTAGTTGCATACACAGCAATGTTCTAATAGCATATACAGTTTCAGGGAGGAGACTTTTCTAGCAGTCTATTGAGAAACCATGGTTAGCAGCAGCCAACTGTATTTACCTCCATATTATGCAGTTTTACCTTTCACATTGGCCATTATCCTGAGGGTTATAAAGTGTTGTCCTACTTACAGCTACTCCTTGTTCTTATCCAACATGGCAGTCCCTTGGTTAGAATGTATGTAAGCAGTTAATCTGAAGATGGCAAAAAAAGAGCAAGGGGCTTGAATCACAGTTGTTGCTTTCATATCTGAGCAGGAAATTGCGAACAGAAAACAAGAGTCAATAATTGTCAGTAGGTACTTATTCCTAGTTTTCAATGGAAGTGGTTTCTTAAAATCCAGGGCAAGTCTTTCAAAAGGTTGAATGGCTTTTATAACCATTCCAGTTCTAGGCTTGAGCTCTGCACATATTTGGCAGGTCATCATGACCCCAATTCACACCTTCAACCAAGAAGAGCAATTTTCTAATTTTAACCATATGGAGAATTTTCATCATGCCCAGATGGCACAGATCCTTATTGTACTTATCATCTCTAAAGGTAGTCGAGACACACACCCTTGAGCACATATCAACCACGGCATTCTTTTTGCCAGAGTGATAAGTTACATCAAATGAGAAGCAAGAAAGCTCCATCCACTACATTGCTATTTTCTCATGTTTTATTTTACTTGCCATTCTAGGGTTGAACATAAATGCAACCAATTTCTGGTTTGTAATTAGTTTGAAATGGTGATCAATTAGATGTCACTTTCTAAGTGACTTGGCAATAGTGTATGCCTCTTTTTCAACTGCTGAGTGCTGCTTCTCAGACTGCAAGAAATTTCTTTAAAAGAATGCTATGGGTCATCCACATTGTTTTAACAAAGAATCTATAGTGCAGTGTGACACATCAGTCTCAACTACCAGAAGTGTAGAAGGGTTGATCATTGTGAAAAGCAGCTTCTGCAATGTTCCTTTTTAGATCTTTGAACACTCTGATAGCATGAGGAGGCAAGGGGAATTTGAAAATGTACTTTTTCAGAGAACAAAAGTATCTAGTGTGCGTAATGTGCAAACTTCTCCAGCACTCATCAAAGTGATTGTAAATTACTCGTAATTGGCAAATTGTGGGAAAAATAGAAATGGCTTACCTTCCAAATGCCCTCGCGTCTGCCTGGCCTGTGGGTTGAGAAAAGAAAGAAAGGGTCCAAGATGGCATCCGTGACTTTTTAATATTCACGGTCTCGTGCAGTCTCGTAAGGTCGCATTACACGCATGCTAATGAGGTGTATCTGGGCTCCATAAAAGCAGGTTGCTTGGAGAAATTGGCAGAAGCCATTTACACCAGTGTTCGGTTTACATTGCTTTGCGTTGTGTCAGACATTTTCCTACGGAAAGAGTTGCGTCCCTTACACTCCATATTGAATTTGACTCCTTTGCTACACAAATTAAATGGTTTTAGTCATTCTGGATCTGGCTTTATGTTTACTTTACTAATAAGATATCCAAGTAATTTAATAGCATGTTGCCTAAAAAACATTTATTGTAATTTAGTGTTGAGTTATATTTTTCTACTGCTGCCATAAACTGCTTAAGATTCCTATTATGGTCGGGTTGATCAAGGCTATATACAGTTACATTATCTAGGCAATGGTGCTTTTTAATTTTTCTTTTAAGATTATTTCATCCATTATTCTTTGAAAGCTGGCCATGCCATTCATTACATCGAAGGGGATTCTTCAAAATTCATACAGTCAACCTTCTGCCTTGAATGCAGTGTAGACTTTGTCACTTGGTTTTATTGTGACCTCTTGGTAAGCACTTCAAATATCTAGTGTACTATATACACCACATTTAGCAATATCTCTGATCATGTCAATTTGTAGTAATGGATATGCATCCAACAGGATGAATTTATTAATGGTCTGTGAATAGTCAATAACCATTCTGTTTTTGTGGTTTTCTGAAGACGTTACAAGGACTTGCACTCTCCATGTAGATTGACTTGGTTGTATTATCCCTTCTCTAAAAATTCTTTTAATTTTGGTATTAATGAAATTAATGTCTTCATTTGTATGCTGTCTTGATCTTATGGCTATTAATTTGCAGTCAGGTGTTAAATTTGCTATGAATGCCAGGTAAGACATGTTAGCTGTCATTAGTCTAAATAATTTTAATGACGGTTTGGAGCCACCAAATGGTATCTCGACATAGGAGTGTTGTTGAAGGAAATTGTGTCATATTTTCAAGTCAACTACTCAGTATCCAGGTACTTGAAATGATAATGCTGTGTTAGCCATTGCTACCCTGTTAGAGCATGTAAAAATTTTCCACAATTTTGAATTTGTGATACCAGTGTCAATAAAATTTTCTGTGCTACCTGTATCAACTAGCACATCTAGAGGGTGTCCATTGGCCTGGATTTTTATAGTAATTTTCAATAAGCAACTAAGTGAAGCCTACAAGAATTGTACAGGGCACCGAGATATTTGTTTTCTTTTTTACAGA